CTAAAGAGAAATCTGAGGCCCAGAGATTAATAAATTACACCTAAAACCCCTAGGCAAAGTATAGAAAAACCAAGGCTTCAATCTTTGAACACCTGAAATTTGGTGCCTTTTGAAAACATCTCTTAAAAGTTTGAGAGCTTCTTTTTATACTACTTTTCTTTATATGTGCCCATATGAAGATTATCTGTCACTCTGTCATTTGCCCAAACCCACAGCTTTATGGATTCATCTTACAGTCTGCCTTTGAGACCTACTACTTCACTATATACAGAAGATTGATCTCATTTACAAAGTTAGCACTTTCTCTTGATTTTCTTTATTTTCAACTAGCATCATTCCAGCAAAAGAGACATATCTGCCTCTAAGCTAGTACCATTTATCCACGACCAACAATTTCTTAAAGGCCCATGACAACTTTTTAATTGCCTCTGGTCTGGAGCTTTATCAAAAGCATCCCAAACGACTAATTACAATCACAGGCAGGAAGGCCAGGAAAGGGAGTGTAGAAAGAAAATGAGGACTTGGTTTTTTACATGTTAAATTTTAGGTGGCCAGAAGCTATTTGGCAAACTCCCAGATTAAAAAGAGAAAAGAACAAGACCAAACAGAAGGAGGTAGCTATGCTATTTAAACAATTAAAAAAAAAGAAAAGGGAAAAAAAGAGAAAGGAAGGAAGGAAGGAAAGGAAGAAAGAAAGAAGAAAGAAAAAGGAAGGAAGGAAGGAAGGAAAGGAAGAAAGGAAGAAAGAAGAAAAAAGAAGAAAAGGAAAGGAAAGGGAAAGGGAAAGGAAAAGATGAATCAGAAACTAGATCAAGAAAGAAGAGATCCTGAACGTAGCCTAGGAAATTAAAAAAAATAAAAAAAGGAGAACTAAGAGCTCAAAGTCTTATAGAAACAAGGCAAGGAAACTACTAAACTGTAGACTGCAGTAAATGTTAAACATTAAACATAAATACTGTTTTTAAGTCTGAATCTCTTTTTGACTACAATCAGATTTAACTCAAAGCAAATGGCACATGTGTAGGTTTTATAAGCTTAGATTGAATAGTGTGCAGGTCTTTACTTAGTAAATACAAAATTTTAATAACTAAGCATAAAGTATTAGAACCTCCTAGTATTTACTTAGTGATAGGTCACAAGTATAGTGTGTTTTGCTTTTTAAATCCCTTGAGACTTTTTTTATTTTAAGATTTTAGAATTGTGATTAAATTCCAGGTTCTCACAAGAAGTCTTGGTCCCAGATATTCTCCTAATTTTTAATGGACATGTGTAA